AAACCCTAAACCCTAGGCCCGAGTCTGGAAGCGAGGCGCGAAGGAGCGCGAACGGGGGCTCGAGGGCTCGAGCCGGAGGACGTTGTGAAAAAGCCGCGCGTAGGGCTAGGGTTTAGGGTTTAGGGTTTAGGGTTTAGGGTTTAGGGTTTAGGGTTTGCCTGGTTTCTGCTGATGGCCTCGAAGAGCTCGTCTGTCTCCGGAGTTGCTGCCACCAAACCCTTGAGCGACAGCAGCAGCTGCAGCAAACCCTCATTTATTAATTCCAAAAGGCTGCAGTACCTCGAGCGCTCTTGCGCGAAAAACACGCCTGCAAACCCACAAACCCTAAACCCTAAACCCTAAACCCTAGACTCTGAATCCTGTGAGGGGGCTCGAGGTTGCTGCTCCGGAACGTTAGGGCCTGCTGCGGGGGTTTCTGGTTTAGAGTCTAGGGTTTGGGTTGACAGCGCCTAGGGTTTAGGGTTTAGGGTTTAGGGTTTGGGGTTTTTGCGTTACTTAGGGAGTCTTGGATTTGTTTGAATCGGTCTTTTTCCCGAGAGTCACTTTTTGCTGCATCTGCTGCAGCAATTGGCGACGGTGGTGCTGCTGCTGCGTCTGCTTCTGCTGCTGCTGCTCTTGCTGCTGCTCTTGCTGCTGCTGCATCTTCTGCTGCCTCCTTAGCAGCAACAACAGCACTTTGTAGGTCTATGGTTTGGGGGCCCCGCACCAACGAGAGGCAGCCGAGGAGCTGCTGCTGCAGCTGCTGCGCGCGCTGCAGCACGAGCTGCTCTGCTGCTGCTGCTGCTGCTGCTGCTGCATCTCTGCAGCAGGAGAGTAGACTCGCAGGACACAAACAACGCAGCACTAACCAAGCAGCGCAGCCGAAATAAAAAAGCAAAAACGGAGATAAACGCAAACCCTAAACTCTAAACCCTAAATCCTAAACCCTAAACCCCAAACCCTAAACCCTAAACCCTAAACCCTAAACCCTAAACCCTAGCTCACGTGGGCTGCATGGCCTGGAGGTGGCTGAGAAGTTCATTTCCTTTGTCTCTCTTCAGCAGCAAAGCAGCAGCAGGACAAAACCCTAGAAATGCATTTGTGTCTTTTATTTCCAAAGACAAACGCGCTATGCAAGTCTCCTCGTCCTCCTCAAACCCTAGGTGGCCAAACCCTAATGCGCACGCCCAGCCCCAAACCCTAAACCCTAAACCCCAAACCGCTGTGGGACCTGCTGTCTCACTGCTGAGGCCTCCTGAGCCCTCGATGAAACCCTAAGCCCCTAAACAAATCCTAAACTCGAAACCCCAAGCCCTAAACTCCAAACCCTAAACCCTAAGTGCCAAGCCCTCCTCCCTAAACCCTAAACCCTAAACCCCAAACCCTAAACCTTAAACCCTAAGCCCCAAACCCTAAGCCCTACCTCTCTCTGCGAGGTCTTCGGTGATGAACTGTTGGGCGAGGGTTCTGAGGGTTTTCTCGTCTTGAGGGTTTGTGATTCTTCCCCCGTAAGTAATTTCCGAAAGAAGTTTTTTTAAAGAATTAAAAAGAGAGGTTTGTGGGGCCGCAGCTGCGGTGTACATACACCTCAGCAGCTCCAAAGAAGCCTTCAAGTCCGAAACCGAAAAGTAGTAACTGCCGTTCCATC